TTCCTCAGATTTTGTAAACGAAAAGGTGTTGATGATTCTGACCTGTATTATTTTAAAGATAAAGGCTCAATTAAATCAACTAGTAAATTGGAAGTTTTGGGTCGCACTCTTTTATCCGGAGCAATCGGTTGAATTTTGACAAAATTTGCATATTTCACAAGCATCTCAGGTCCTCGTGTGGCGCCGAAAGAAAATTCGTTAAAAAAAAATGTACAGAAGCGAATTTCTCCAATCTAGTTTCATATTTGTTATATACTTATTAAAGAAGTCTACAGAAAAATTATGAGCGAAATCCATTTTGTGGGCAAAACTCGATATGAGAAATATCAAAATATAAATATAAATATAAATAAATATCAAATCGTTTAGGAAGTCTAATAGTTCGAGTTGGTCTCGGGCTTGTTTGAAGCACAGTTGAACTTGGGTAAACTGTGTGCTGCACTGAAATGGGGCTTCCAATTAGCTAGCTAGTGATTGGCTGGCTAGTAATTGGCTGAAGTGGTGTCACTGATTCAAATGGGTTAGCAATTGGCTGAAGTGGTAGCATTAATTCTAAAGTACCATTCCCCTCGTACTTCTTAACAAACGACACATTTCGTTTTATTTCCACACCATCATTCTTACTTAATGTGACTTCACGTTTATTTCTGTCTATGACTTCACAAGCGCTGGGGTTGTAGTTTGGAGGCAGTTTGTTTGTTTTGGTGTTTGTCAATAATCACTGATCTCCAACTTTTAATTGACCCTCAACTGCATGTTCCTCGTGTCCATGTAATCTTTCTGTGCCAGCTTTCTTAACCAGTCCCAGTCAGGCATTTCTTCATTGGTGATGGTCCCTCACGTCTGCACTCTGGAAAATTCGACCGCACTTTACTCCCGCACATTAAGATCAATACTGTTACACCAGTTGTCATTTGAGGACTTGACCTGTGCAGAAATACAAATTTGTGAGGCTCTTGTCGCAAAAGCTTTTCCTTCAATTTGGGCTCCACCATCAGATGTTCCACTGTTCCACCATCAGATGTTCTACTGTTCCACCATCAGATAGGTCACTGTTACACCATTAGATGTTCCACTCTTCCACCATCTGATGTTCTACTGTTCCACCATCAGATGTTCTACTCTCCCACCATCAGATGTTCCACTGTTCCACCATAAGATGTTCCACTGTTCCACCATCTCTCTTCAACTGTTCTACCATCATATAATCTCCTGCCTCACCATCAGATATTCCACAGTTGTAAAATCTTTGTTCCACTGTTCCACCATCTCTGTGTTACTTTTCAACCATCAGATATTCTACTCTTCCACCATCAGATGTTCCACTGTTCCACCATCAGATGTTCCAACGTTTCACCGTCCCTGTTCTACTGTTCCACCATAAGATATTCCACTGTTCCATCATCAGATGTTCCACTCTTCAAGCAACGGAAGGTCTATAGCTCCAACACCTAAGTGGCACTGTTCCATCATCTCTGTTCAACTGTTAAATGATCAAATTTTCCACTGTTCCACAATCAGAAGTTCCCCTGCTCCACCATTTCTGTTCCACTGTTCAACCAAGACATGTTCCACTGTTCCACCATCATATGTTCCACTGTTTCACCATCACATGTTCCACTGTTCCACCATCAAATGTTCCACTGTTCCGCCATCAGATGAACCACTGTTCCACATTCTCTGTTCTACTGTTCAACCATTAGATGTTTTACTGTTCCACCATCTCTGTTCCACTGTACCACCATCACAGGTTCTACTGTTCCGCCATCAGATGTTCCACTGTTCCGCCATCAGATATTCCACTGTTCCATCATCAGAGGTTCTAATGTTCCATCATGATTGTTCCACTGTTCCATCATCAGATGTTCCACTCTTCCAGCATCAGATGTTCTACTCTTCCACCATCAGATGTTCTACTGTTCCAACATCTTTAATCCACTGTTCCACCAGCTCAGATGTACTTTCCACCATCAGACGATCCGCTGTTCTACAATCTCTGTTCCTCTGTTTCTCACTCAGACTTTTTACTATTCTACCAATTCTGTTCCACTGTTCCACCATCAGATGTTCCATTCTTCCACCGTCAGATGTTCCACTGTTCCACCATCACATGTTTCACTCTTCAAGCATCTCTGTTCCCTTGTTCCATCATCAGATGTTCCACGGTTCCAGCATCATCTGTTCCACTATTCCACAATCTCTGTTTCACTGTTCCGACATTAGATGTTCAACTGTTCAACCATCTCTGTTCTACTGTTCCACCATCAGATGTTCCATTCTTCCACCATCAGATGATCCACTGTTCCACCATCAGATGTTCCTCTGTTCCACCATCTGATGTTCTACTGTTCCACCATGATTGTTCTACTCTTCGATCATCACATCTTTCACCCTTCAACCAAAGGAAATTCTACAGTTCCACCCCATAAGTTGCACTGTTCCACAATCACATATTCCACTGATTCACCATAAGATGTTCCACCGTTCAAACATCATATCCTCCACCGTTCCACCATCAGATGTTCCAATGCTCCACCATCAGATGTTCCACCCTTCCACCATGAGATGTTCCACTGTTCCATCACCAGATGATAAACTGTTAAACATTCTCTGTTCCACTATTCCACCATCAGATGTTTTACTGTTCCACCATCTCTGTTCCACTCTTCCACCATCAGATATTACACTGTTTTACCATCAGATGTTCCACTCTTCCACCATCAGAGGTTCTACTATTCCACCATCCTCGTTCCACTATTCAACCATCAGATGTTTCACCGTTCCACCATAAGATGTTCTACTGTTCCACCATCACGTGTTCTAATGTTCCACCATCTGTGTTCCACTGTTTCACCACCGCTGTTACGCTGTTCCACCATCATATCTTTCACTGTTCCACTAAGAGATGTTCCACCATTCCACCATCAGATATTCCACTGTTCCACCATCTGTGTTCCACTGTTACACCATCATATCTTCCACTGTTCCACCAAAAGATGTTCCACGGTTCCACCATCAGATGTTCCACTGTTCCACTGTAAGATGATCTACTGTTCCAAATTGTCTCTTCCACTGTTCCACCATCAGATGTTTTACTGTTCCACCATCTGTTCAACTGTAGCACCATGATATGCTCCACTGTTCCACCATCATATGTTACACTGTTCCACCATCAAATGTTCCACTATTCCAAAATCTCTCTTCCACTGTTCGACCATGATATCTTCCACTATTCCACCATGAGATGTTCCACTGTTCCACCACAATATCTTCCACTCTTCCACATTGTCTGTTCCACTGTTCCACCATTAGATGTTTTACTGTTCCACCATCTCTGTTCCACTGTTCCACCATCAGAGGTTCTATTGTTCCATCATGATTGTTCCACTGTTCCATCATCAGATGTTCTACTCTTCCTGCATCAGATGTTCTACTGTTCCACCATCTTTGTTCCACTGTTCCTCCAACTGTGATGTACTATTTCACCATAAGACGTTTCACTGGTAACCCATCAATCTTCCGCTTTTTCTTACTCTGATGTTTTACTCTTCCACAACATCTGTTCCACCGTCCCACCATCACATGTTCCATTGTTCCACCGTCAGATGTACTCTTTTGCTCTTCCACCGTTCCACCATCAGATGTTCCATTGTTCCACCGTCAGATGTTCCACTCTTCAACCATCTCTCTTCCCTTGTTCCATCGTCAGGTGTTCCACGGTTCCAGCATCATCTGTTCCATTATTCCACCATCTCTGTTTCACTGTTCTGACATTAGATGTTCAACTGTTCAACCATCTCTGTTCTACTGTTCCACCATCAGATGTTCCACAGTTCCACCATCAGATGTTTCTCTTTTCCACCATCTGCTGTTCTCTTCTCCAACCATGATTGTTCCACTGTTCCATAATCAGATCTTTCACTCTTCCACCAACGGAGGTCTACAGTTCCACCACCTAAGTTGCACTGTTCCACCATTACATGTTCCACTGTTCCATCATCTCTGTTCCACTGTTCCATTATCAAATGTTGCACTGTTCCACAACCAGATGTTCCACTGTTTAACCATCTCTGTTCCACTGTTCCACCATCACATGTTCCACCGTTCCACCATCATATGTTCCACTGTTCCACCACCTGATAGCCTACTGTTAAACATTCTCTGTTGCACTCTTCCACCATCACATGTTTTACTGTTACACTATCTCTGTTCCACTGTTCCACCATCACATGTTACACTGTTTTACCATCACATGTTCACTGTTCTACCACCAGAGGTTCTACTGTTCCGCCATGATTAATCCACTGAAATCAAATGTTCCAATGTTCCAGCATCAGACATTCTACTTTTCCATCATCAGATGTTCTACTGTTCCACCATCTTTGTTCCACTGTTCCACCATCAGATGTTTTACTTTTCCACCATCTCTCTGTTCCACTGTACTACTGTAACCGAAGTCACGCGTATTAGTGTCCAACCGCTTTATTTTATAAATCACACTCCTACGGTACTGTACAACCAAAAATACAAAGAATACGAAATCACGAAAAATGTAGAAATCAGTACAAAATAACAAATACATCAAAGAAAACGGAAAAGCGTACAAATGGCGTATGACTAACATTTACCTTAACGGTTTCTTGACTTAACGTTAAAAGGAATGAGCTGTTCTTGACCGATAAAAACTGTAAAAAACACTGACCGACAAGACTAAGTTTACACCAAAAAACTTGACAGATTACGTAACATTACGCAACGATGGTGACACCAAAAAGAAAGCAAACAATATAACAAAAGAAAACTATAAACAATTACAACTAATTGCAAGTAGACGCGAACAAAAAAAACAAAGAAAACCCTAAGTTCTAGAAGTTTCGCTGTAACAACTACCATCAAATGTTCTATCGTTCCACCATCAGATGTTCCACTGTTCCACCACCAGATGTTCCACTGTTCCACCATTAGAGGTTCTATTGTTCTAACATGATTGTTCCACTGTTCCATCATCAGATGTTCCACTGTTCCACCATCAGATGTTCTACACTTCTACCATTAGGTGTTTTACTGTCCCACTATTAGGTGTTCTAATATTCCGCCATCTGTGTTCCACTGTTCCACCATCTCTGTTGCACTGTTCTAACATGATATCTTCCACTGTTCCACCATGAGATGTTCCACTGTTCCATCAAGATGTTCCACCATTAGAACATTAGTTGATCTACTATTCCAAATTGTCTATTCCACTGTTTTACCATCATATGTCCCACTGTTCCACCGTTAAATGTTTTAGTGTTCCACCATCAGATGTTCCACTGTCCCACCATCAGAGTTTCTACTGTTTCACCATGATTGTTGCTGTAACATTGGAACATTTGATTTCAGTGGATTAATCATGGTGGAGCAGTAGAACCTCTGGTGGTAGAACAGTGAACATGTGATGGTAAAACAGTAAAACAAGTGATGGTGGAACAGTGCAACAGAGAATGTTTAACAGTAGGCTATCCACTGTTCCACCATCTCTGCTGCACTGTTCTAACATCATATCTTCCACTGTTCCACCATGAGATGTTCCACTGTTCCATCAAAAGATGTTCCACCATTAGAACATTAGCTGATCTACTGTTCCACATTGTCTATTCCACTGTTTTACCATCATATGTTCCACTGTTCCACCGTTAAATGTTTTAGTGTTCCACTATCAGATGCTCCATTGTTCCACCGTCAGATGTTCCACTGTTCCACCATCAGAAGTTCTACTGTTTCACGATGATTGTTCCACTTTTCCATCATCAGATGTTCCACTGTTCCAGCATCAGTTATTATACTCTTTCACCATCAGATGTTCCACTGTTCCATCACCAGATGCTCTACTTTTAAACATTCTCTGTTCCACTCTTCCACCATCAGATGTTACACTGTTTTAGCATCAGATGTTCCACTCTTCCACCATCAGAGGTTCTATTATTCCACCATCTTTCTTTCACTGTTCCACCATCAGATGTTTCACCGTTCCACCGTCAGATGTCCTACTGTTCCACCATCAGGTGTTCTAATGTTCGACCATCTCTTTTCCAATGTTTCACCACCTCTGTTACGCTGTTCCACCAAAAGATGTTCCATTGTTCCACCATCAGATGTTCCACTGTTTCACCATCTCGGTTCCACTGTTCCACCATCGTATCTTCCACTGTTCCACCATCAGATGTTTCACTGTTCAACTATCAGATGATCTACTGTTCCAAATTGTCTGTTCTACTGTTCCACCATCAGATGTTTTACTGTTCCAGCATCTCTGTTCTATTGTAGCACCATGACATGCTCCACTGTTCCACCATCATATGTTACACTGTTCCACCATTATATCTTCCACTGTTCCACAATGTCTGTTCCACTGTTCCACCATTAGGTGTTTTACTGTTCCACCCTCTGTTCTACTGTTCCACCATCAGATGTTCTACTTTTCATCCATTAGCTGTTCCACTGTTCCCCCATCAGATGTTCTACTGTTCCACCACAATATGTTCCACTGTTCCACAATGTCTGTTCCACTGTTCCACCATTAGATGTTTTACTGTTCCACCATCTCTGTTCCACTGTTCCACTATCAGATGTTCTACTTTTTATCCATTAGCTGTTCCACTGTTCCCCCATCAGATGTTCCACTCTTCCACCATCAGAGGTTCTACTGTTCCATCATGATTGTTCCACTGTTCTATCATCAGATGTTCTACTCTTCCAGCGTCAGATGTTCTACTGTTCCATCATCTTTTTTCCACTGTTCCTCCAACTGTGATGTACTATTTTACCATCTCTCTTCCTCTATTTCTTACTCTGATGTTTTACTCTTTTACCACATCTGTTCCACTGTTCCACCCATTTTTCCACCGTCAGATGTTCCACTCTTCCACCATCACAGGTTTTACTCTTCCACCACCGCTGTTCCCTTGTTCCATCATCAGATGTTCCACTGTTCCAGCCTCATCTGGTCCACTATTCCACCATCTCTGTTTCACTGTTCCGACATAAGATGTTCAACTGTTTAACCATCTCTGTTCTACTGTTCCACCATCAGATGTTCCACTGTTCCACCAGCAGATTAACTACTGTTAACCATTTACTGTTCCACTGTTCCACTGTTCCACCATCAGATGTTACACTGTTTTACCATCACATGTTCACTGTTCTACCACCAGAGGTGCTACTGTTCCACCATGATTGTTTTACTGAAATCAGATGTTCCAATGTTCCAGCATCACATATTCTACTTCTCCATCATCAAATGTTCTACTGTTCTACCATCTCTGTTCCACGGTTTCACCATCAGTTGTTTCACCGTTCCACCATCAGATATTCTACTGTTCCACCATCAGGTGCTCCAGTTTTCAACCATCAGATGTTCCACTGTTCCACCACCAGATGATCTACTGTTCCATATTATCTGTTCCACTGTTCAACCATCAGATGTTCCACTCTTCCACCATCAGATGTTCCACTGTTCCACCACCAGATTTTCCACTGTTCCACCATTAGAGGTTCTAATGTTCCACCATGATTGTTCCATTGTTCCATCATCAGATGTTCCACTGTTCCAGCATCAGATGTTCTTCTCTTCCACCAATAGGTATTCTACTGTCCCACTATTAGGTGTTCTAATGTTCCACCATCTGTGTTCCACTGTTTCACCACCTCTGTTACGCTGTTCCACCATCAGATGTTCCACTGTTCCAGCCTCATCTGGTCCACTATTCCACCGTCTCTGTTTCACTGTTCCGACATAAGATGTTCAACTGTTTAACCACCTCTGTTCTACTGTTCCACCAGCAGATTAACTACTGTTCACCATTCTCTGTTCCACTGTTCCACCATCAGATGTTACACTGTTTTACCATCACATGTTCACTGTTCTACCACCAGAGGTGCTACTGTTCCACCATGATTGTTTTACTGAAATCAGATGTTCCAATGTTCCAGCATCACATATTCTACTTCTCCATCATCAAATGTTCTACTGTTCCACCATCTCTGTTCCACTGTTTCACCATCAGTTGTTTCACCGTTCCACCATCAGATATTCTACTGTTCCACGATCAGGTGTTCCAGTTTTCAACAATCAGATGTTCCACTGTTCCACCACCAGATGATCTACTGTTCCATATTGTCTGTTCCACTGTTCAACCATCAGATGTTCCACTGTTTCACCATAAGATGTTCCACTGTTCCACCACCAGATGTTCCACTGTTCCACCATTAGAGGTTCTAATGTTCCACCATGATTGTTCCATTGTTCCATCATCAGATGTTCCTCTGTTCCAGCATCAGATGTTCTTCTCTTCCACCATTAGGTATTCTACTGTCCCACTTTTAGGTGTTCTAATGTTCCACCATCTGTGTTCCACTGTTTCACCACCTCTGTTACGCTGTTCCACCATCAGATGTTCCACTGTTCCACCATCTCTGTTCTACTGTTCTAACATCATATCTTTCGCTGTTTCACCATCACATGTTCCGCCGTCCCACCATAAGATGTTACACTGTTCCACCATCAGCTTGTCTACTGCTGCACATTGTCTGTTCCACTGTTCCACCGTCAGATGTTTCACTGTTTCACTATCTCTGTTTCACTGTACCACCGTCAAATATTCTACCGTGCCACCATCAGATGTTCCATTGTTCCTCCCTCAGATGTTCCACTGTTCCACCATCAGAGGTTCTACTGTTCCACCATCATTGTTCCACTGTTCCATCATCAGATGTTCCACTGTTCCACTGTTCCACCATCAGATGTTTTACTGTTCGACCATCTCTGTTCCACTCTACTACCATCAAATGTTCAATTGTTCCACCAGCAGATGTTCCACTGTTCAACCATCAGAGGTTCTATTGTTCTACCATGATTGTTCCACTGTTACAGCATCAGATGCTCTACTCTTCTACCATTAGGTATTCTACTGTCCCACTATTAGGTGTTCTAATGTTCCGCCATCTGTGTTCCACTGTTTCACCACCTCTGTTACGCTGTTCCACCATCAGATGCTCCACCGTTCCACCATCTCTGTTGCACTGTTCCACCATCAGATTCTCCACTGTTCCATCAAAAAATGTTCCACCATTCCACCATCAGCTGATCTACTGTTCCACATTGTCGGTTCCACTGTTTTAACATCATATGTTCCACTGTTCCACCGTCAAATGTTTTACTGTTCCACCATCTCTGTTCCACTGTACCACCATCAAATATTCTACTGTTCCACCATCAGATGTTCCATTGTTCCACCGTCAGATGTTCCACTGTTCCACCATCAGAGGTTCTACTGTTTCACCATCAGATGTTCAACTGTTCCATCACCAGATGATCTACGGTTAAACATTCTCTGTTCCACTGTTCCACTACCAGATGTTACACTGTTTTAGCATCACATGTTCTACTCTTCCACCATCAGATGTTTCATCGTTCTACCGTCAGATGTCCTACTGTTCCACCATCAGGTGTTCTAATGCTCGACCATCTGTGTTCCACTGTTTCACAACCTCTGTTACGCTGTTCCACCAAAAGATGTTCCACTGTTCCACCATCAGATGTTCCACTGTTCCACCATCGCTGTTTCACTGTTCCACCATCATATCTTCCACTGTTCCACCATCAGATGTTCTACTGTTCCACTATCAGATGATCTACTGTTCCAAATTGTCTGTTCTACTGTTCCACCATCCGATGTTTTATTGTTCTACCATCTCTGTTCTACTGTAGCACCATGACATGCATACTGTTCCACCATCAAATGTTCCACTATTTTACAATTTCCTTTCCACTGTTCCACCATGATATCTTCCACTGTTCCATCATGAGATGTTCTACTGTTCCACCACAATATCTTCCACTGTTCCACAATGTCTGTTCCACTGTTCCACCATTAGATGTTTTACTGTTGCACCATCTCTGTTCCACTGTTCCACTATCAGATGTTCTTCTGTTCATCCATTAGCTGTTCCACTGTTCCCCCATCAGATGTTCCACTCTTCCACCTTCAGCGGTTCTACTGTTCCATCATGATTGTTCCACTTTTCCATTATCAGATGTTCTACTCTTCCCGCATCAGATGTTCTACTGTTCCACCATCTTTGTTCCACTGTTTCTCCAATTGTGATGTACTATTTCACCATCAGACGTTCCACTGCTAACCCATCTCTCTTCCTCTATTTCTTACTCTGATGTTTTACTCTTTTACCACATCTGTTTCACCGTTCCACCATCAGATGTTTTATTTTACCACCGTCAGATGTTCCACTCTTCCACCATCACATGTTTTACTCTTCCACCATCTCTCTTCCCTTGTTCCCTCATCAAATGTTCCACTGTTCCAGCATCATCTGTTCCACTATTCCACCATCTCTGTTTCACTGTTCCGACATTAGATTTTCAACTTTTTAACCATCTCTGTTGTACTGTTTCACCATCACATGTTCCACTGTTCCACCATCAGATTTTCCACTGTTCGACATCAGCTTTTTCTCTGTTCCACCATCTGCTGTTCTACTCTCCAACCATGATTGTTCCACTGTTCCATAATCAGATCTTTCACTCTTACATCAACGGAGGTCTACAGTTCCACCACCTAAGTTGCACTGTTCCACCATTACATGTTCCACTGTTCCATCGTCTCCTTTCTACTGTTCCATTATCAAATGTTGCACTGTTCCACAACCAGATGTTCCACTGTTTAACCATCTCTGTTCCACTGTTCCACCATCACATGTTACACTGTTTTACCATCACATGTTCACTGTTCTACCACCGGAGGTGCTACTGTTCCACCATGATTGTACCACTGAAATCAGATGTTCCATTGTTCCAGCATCAGATATTCTACTTTTCCATCATCAAATGTTCTACTGTTCCACCATCTCTGTTCCACTGTTTCACCATCAGTTGTTTCACCGTTCCACCATCAGATGTTTTACTGTTCCACCATCAGGTGTTCTAATGTTCCACCATCTATGTTCCACTGTTTCACCACCTCTGTTACGCTCTTCCACCATCAGATGTTCTACTGTTCTACTGTTCCACCATCTCTATTCCACTGTTCTAACATCATATCTTCCACTGTTCCACCCCCAGATGATCTACTGTTCCATATTGTCTGTTTTACTGTTCCACCATCAGATGTTTTACTGTTCCACCATCTCTGTTCCACTGTACTACCATTAAATGTTCTATTGTTCCACCATCAGATGTTCCACTGTTCCACCATCAAGGGTTGTACTGTTCCACCATGATTATTGCACTGTTCCATCATCAGATGTTCCACTGTTCCATTATCAGATGTTCTACTCTTCCACCATCAGATGTTCTACTTTTCCACCATCCTTGTTCTACTGTTCCACCATCAGATGTTTCACCGTTCCACCATCAGATGTTCTACTGTTCCACCGTCGGGTGTTCTAAAGTTCGACCATCTGTGTTCCACTGTTTCACCATCTCTGTTACGCTGTTCCACCATCAGATGGTCCACTGTTCCACCATCTCTTTTGCACTGTTCCACCATCAGATGTTTCACTGGTCCACCACCTTAGAGGGGGTTGTTATATTCAGGGGTTTTACAACCAGTGGTTCATACAACCAGGGCTTCTTGTGTGTCCACAAGGACATAGAATGGAACCTTGACGAAATCATTAATATTTACGCAAGAGAGGATCTAAGAAGAATGAAGCCGTTAGATCTTCTTGGAGGTGACGGAGATAGTCAAATTCTACTCATGCTCAGTGCAAAGTGACTTTAGCTTTAATAGTAAAAATAGAATCAAGTAAGAATCGAGGCAACATCATACACAAACTTGAGAGCTCAAAAAAACTTTCAGACTGACAAACTATAAACACCATACATCTTGGTCCCTCTTCCGCTTGCATCTTTTGTCCAAAATACGATCATAAGTTCGTTACATAATGCCTTAGCCTTCTAATAATAGAACAAAGAAACATGGCTATTCAAAATATTTAAGTCACTTGAAAAACCTGCGGAGCAGCAGTGCTTCTTGGACTACGACAGCCTCTTATTTTAGACATTAACAGTTAAGCTCTTTTAAAATGTCTTGAAATTTTATTTATCTCCTGGTTTTAACAAGGCTGTCTAAAAAAACGAAAAAACGCCAAAACCGCAAAAAGACAACAATATCTTTTAAAAGCGGCCCCCCTTACCTCAAGGTTTGGATACGCCACTACCTTTAATTAACCACGAACAGTGAAACTCGATACGATAATGGCAACGGAGCTTGACACCAACAGTGAAATGCAAGACAAACCATTTAACATAAAGCATTGTGAAATTTACGGACAGAGCGCCAACACCAACATCGTTTTTGCAGCGTAGAACAACTTCCATTTCACTTTGATCCACAGTAGATTCAAGAACAGAACAGGTAAGAGTTTATCTCTCATCCTTGATTTCCATTTGCAGTTTACAAATAAGAGTGTGGGTTCCCTATGCTGAAGGTTTGTTTAAAGGGGGTAAGAGTTTGTGCTTGCCGCAGCTCAACAGGTAGACTATTCCACAGCAGCGAACCTTTGTAGCTGAATCTGTTTTTACATAATTGGTAAGGTTCAGTGGAATAGCTAGTTTGTAATTGGAATCCCTGAGAGAGTAACTGGAAACTCTTGTTCTGAAGAAAACAAACTTGCGGAACAAGTCCATTAAGAGACTTATAAACCATAGCCACAGTTTGAATTTTCCGTTGAGCCTCTATCTTTTTCCAGGCTAAGGATGTAAAAGGATTGTCATAAGGAGAGAAACCTGGCATCTTAAGGAGAAACGTTCAACATACAAGCGGCGCGATTTCGAAGTTTTTGCAGTTTAGTTGCAAGGGATTTGTAGCAATTCCCCAAAACAGTGCTACAATAATCAAAATATGGTTGCACTATGGCATTATATATAGTTGAAACCACTTCAAATGTAGTGCTCTCAACTATATATAACACACTAGTGCAACTATATCTTGATTACAAGGGGAAACAAGGGCTTACAAGGGTAACAAAATGTTACAGGGGGTTACAAGGGGTTACAAGTGGTTAAAGGGGGTTACAGGAGGTTACAAGAGGTTACAGAGGGTTACAAGAGGTTACACGGGGTTACAAGGAATTACAAGGGGTTACAAGGGGTTACAAGAGATTATAGGGTGTTACAGGGAATTAAAGGGGGTTACAACAGGTTACAAGCCGTTACATTGGGTTAGAGGGAGTTACAAGGGGTTGCAGGAGATTAGAAGGGGTTTACAAGGGGTTACCGAGGGTTAAAAGAGGTTACAATTGCTTGCAGGGGTTTACAGGGGGTTAAAAGGGGTTACAGAAGGTTACAAGAGGTTTCAGGGGGTTACAAGGGGTTTCAAGTGGTTACAAGGGGGTTACAGAGGGTTTCAAGAGGTTACCGGGAGTTACAAGGGGTTACAAGTGGTTAAAGGGGGTCAGAACGGGTTACAGAGGGTTACAAGAGGTTACAGGGGGCTACAAGGGGTTACAATTGGTTACAGGGGTTTACAGGGGGTTACAAGGGGTTAGAGAGGGTTACAAGAGGTTACAGGAGGTCACAAGGAATTACAGGTGGTTACAAGAGGTTACAACCCGTTAAGTGGGGTTACAAGGGGTTGCAGAAGATTAGAAGGGGGTTGCCAGGGGTTACAAGACGTTACGAGGAAATACAAGGGGTTGCTGGGGGTTACTAGAGGTTACAAGGGGTTACAGAAGTTACAAGCCGTTAAATGGGGTTACTGAGAGTTACAATGGGTTGCAGGAGATTAGAAGGGGTTTACAGGGGGTTACAGTGGGTTACAAGAGGTTACACGGGGTTACAAGGGGTTATAATTAGTTACAGGGGTTTACAGGGGGTTAAAAGGGGTTATAGAGGGTTACAAGAGGTTACAGAGGCTTACAAGGGGTTACAATTGGTTACAGGGGTTTACAGGGCGTTAAAAAGGGTTGCAGAGGGTTACAAGAGGTTTCAGAGGGTTACAAGGGGTTACAATTGGTTACAGGGGTTTACAGGGGGTTAAAAGGGGTTACAGAGGGTTACAAGAGGTTTCAGAGGGTTACAAGGGGTTATAAGTGGTTGTAGGAGGTTACAAGGGGTTACAGAGGGTTACAAGAGGTTACAGGGGGTTACAAGGAGTTACAATGGGTTGCAGGAGATTCGAAGGGTTTTACAAGGGGTTACTGTGGGTTACAAGAGGTTACGAGGAAATACAAGGGATTACAGGGGGTTTTAAAAGGTTACAGGGGGTTTCAAGGGGTTACTTGGGGTTACAAGGGGTTACAAGACGCTACACGGGGTTACAAGGGGTTAAAGGGGTTACAAAGGGTCACAAGACGTTACAGGGGGTTACAAGGGGTTACAGGAGTTTACTACGGGTTACAGAGGGTTGCAAGGGGTTACAAATGGTTACAGGGGGTTACAAGGAATTACAGGGTGTTACAAGAGCTTACAAGCCGTTACATGGGGTTACAGGGAGTTAGAAGGGGTTGAAGGAGATTAGAAGGGGTTTACACGGCGTTACAGGGGGTTACAAGAGATCACAGGGGGTTGGAAGGGGCTACAGGGAGTTACATAGGGTTACAAGAGGTTACAAGGGGTTACAATTAGTTACAATTGGTTACAGGGGTTTACTAGGGGTTAAAAGGGGTTATAGAG